AAAAAAAAAAAAAAAAAATTGTAATAGAAATTTTAAAAATTAATATTAATCACTCGAAATCTCAAATATATACATCTCATTTATGTTTTTATTTGAAAATTGACAGTGCATGCCCTTTGTGATTTTGAATTTGTCTTATAAAAATATTGCAGCCTATGACAATGGAAGCTTATAGTAGGCTGCACGCTGCCATGTATCAACACCTCCAGCAACCACCACCTGGCCCTGGCCCTGGTTCAAACAGTTGATCTAACAAAAATCTACACATTGCGTTTAAATATTGTTCCACGGACTAAATTATATCTTCTTTTTGCTTTTGTTATGGATGCTTTCTTTATGGGTAAAATATATGTATTATACGAAACTCTGCGCGTTTTCTCCTGGTATTTTAAAAATTGCATCAGACCCGCTTGTATTAACTAACTATTGCACGATTCTCCCTCTCCGTACAACTTGACGGCGCGTGCTGTACACGCTTCTGTAATGCGAAAATTATACATTTTTTTCATATATTTTTTTTATTTTAAAATTAAAATTTACTATTTTGCCCCTACTTTTCTGTCTATTAATATGCAAATCTTGTTGCTCCTCAAATTCCATCATGGGCCAAAAGTTCAAGAGGCAAGTCTTCACACCACTCTGCCACCATTCTTTTAGAACATATCTAACACACATTTATTTAAAAATGCAGAACGGAGTTGTCCGCCAGCGTCCGCCATGAGTCGAACGGAGCTGCCTGCCGGCATCCATCACGGTCCTGTTTGGCGATATGCCTGAAATCAGAGAACACAAATTGTGTGTGGGTTGTATTTTGGAAATTTGATTATTTAAAATGATCTATATGCAATTTATAAATTTTAACCATATTTCAATTTAGTCTCTTGGTCAAATCTGTAATTTATAAAAACTTTATAAAAAAATTATTCTTTTTATATTCTTTATACGTATATATTTTTAAATAATAAATAAATAACTTGTATAACAACATTGATAAACAAAATTCACAATAATCAATATCATTTAATTTATTCACAATATTAAATGTGTACATATTTATCGATTTTCAAAAAATATCGACGTCAACCGACTGCACATTAATAGAATTTTTATACAATAATACCAAACTAGTGTGGTACCCGTGCGATGCACGAGCTATTATTATTAAGAAAAGTTAAATTTGTATAAGTGGATGATTGGTCAAAACGTAACGAATTGTTATTTACATATTATTAAGCACCTCTTAGTACGCAATATTCTTTATTTATTTTTTTCTACATCGCCAGAACTTAAAATCTTCAAACTTTGACTATTCGTGACGCGTGAAATAACATACATCTGATCGTGACTGAACACCGGTTTCTCCAAAAATAGGCTAAAATGCGATAAATATTAACCTTGAAGCTTTTTTATTACTATGGCGCAATAAACCATAAGAGGAAAACACATTAGCCTTAGGAAGCCTTAAATATTCAACACTTTATAATTCATACAAAATTATTTGGAAAAAAATATCAGTCACAAATATGTCAATATCAATACCTAAAAAGTTTATAATTTGACGGATTTAAAATAATTTCCAAAGATAAATGTGCGAAACATACACAGGATGATTTTGTTAACCATAATTTTATTTGTTATAATTATTTATAAGTAATGAACATAAGATATTTATAAAACATTACACTAACCAACCTATATAAGAGCATCTCCAATGCTCAATGTTGTAGTGATAAATTACATTCCACATCAACACATTTATTAATATCACAATATTTCATCTTCTAATGTACAATGTGATCACTAATGTTGTAATGATGTGGACATAATTAATGTCTACAATGTAGAGAATAATGTGGTTCATCCACATTCTACTCCACACTCTAGTTAGCCAATGGGGAGAAGAGATAGAATTATTATTACCATTTTCAAACTATTTAATTATTTAATTAATTTTATTAATTCATATTGAAATTTTATTATTTGTCAAGTAAATAATATTGTAATTAGACAACATTGTGCATTGGAGATGATTTTTTTAATTTAATAGTTGTGAACTCAACATTTGTCCTACATGGTTCACAATCTATTTAATTTTTTGACATTTGTCAAAAAATTTCAATAACAATATTAGAGCATTGGAGATGCTCTAAACAATTGGACTAAAGTAATGGATCAATTAATGACCCATTATTCATATAACATTATTAGCATTATATATTACATTTAAAAGCCTATTTAAAAGGGGCCACCTTATTAAAAAAATTTAAGGCCTAGATGGACAACAACACGGGCCACATATATATACTTGGCGACTTTACATCTATCCTACCCGATAGACAGAATATGGCAGATTTGCGACTGAGAAACTTTTTATTGCATACTAGTACAGAGCTCGTGCGATGCACGGGGTGCACAATTTTAAGGTCAATTATTCAGCCTTATAATTATATAAATGAATAAAGAAAAATATACAGAATATATAGTACTTGACCTGTGCGAAGCACGGGATATATTTATTTGGGGATTATTATACTATAAGATGTTACATTCAATAAAAGTTTTACAATACACGAAAATAAATATAAATAATGTAAATATCTAAATACATACACGGTATGTGGAATAAATAAACCAAATTGCAAATCTAAAAATATAATTTAAAAAAAAATCAAAAATATATTTCACTAAACATCTACAAAAAATCTAAATACATACACGAAAATAAAAATAAAAAATAAAATATACGTTTCAAATTTCGAAATTAAAAAAAAAATTCAAATAATTTGGCTTACAGTTTTATCATGCAAAACCAACTCGAGATATGATTTGTATGTGCTGCCCTAGTCTTGGAAAAACATTCTCACAATTCGAACTTTGAGCATAGGTCTATTAGACCTATTGACTTGTTTGATTAACCCAAATCCTTGATACATTGTTTTGAATAAAAGACTGATTGGAGATATTTTTGTTCGCAGGAGGTTGATAGTGAGGAAGATGATGGCTCGATATTTTAAGATTTATAATTTATAATGAGTAGAGTAGATATATACTGTTGTTAATATTTTTATTAGAAAATCTGAATTTGATTATACAGAAATCGTTTTGAACAAATCAGAACTGATTTCTATACAATTAGATAATAAATAAAGCCTTTTTTTTATTTTAGTAACGATTTTACGTACGTTTTTTACTTATCGGATGTTATGGGTTTTTTTTTGTTAAACCGATTTTATGGGATATAATACAAATACAATTATAGAATGGAACAAAATCAGAATAGATTTCCATACAGTTGGATAATAAGAATGAATTAGATAAGGAAAAGAAGGAATTATAAGGAATTTTGAATCTGCCTTTTTTTTTTTGATCGTTAAATCTGCCTTTTTTTTAGTATAGATAGACTTTACGTACAAATTTTGACTTCACCGATTTTATGGGATTTGTTTTGACAAAATCGATGTTAATATGGAATAAGACAAATAAATAAAGCCTTTTTTATTTTAATAAAGATTTTACGTCTTTTTTTTTTACTTACCAAATGTTATGAGATATTTTTTCTTAAACTGATTTTATGAGATATAAGACAAATAAATAAAATAATTAAATAAAATTCTGGATAGAAATAACAATGCTAATTACGTTGACTTTTTAACCTACTAAATTTGGTAAATAGTATACTTATTATATAAATGTAGATTTTGATTGTTTTTGCTCACCTGATTTTATGAGATTTTTTATGTCAAGATAAGAAGGATTAAAAATTAGAAGTTCAGCATAAATTTATAAGAAGAATTTTTTTATGGGATTTACGTACAGAATTTTTTAAGTTAAGATTTATAAGAAAGATTTTTTATGTCAGCATAAATTATAAATGCATTAATTACTACTTGATAAAATTAGAAGTTTTTTAATTAAGTTTGACTTTTCTACCTACTATATTTAGTAAATAGGATCCCCTTTAATATAAGTATAGATATAGCAATTATAGGACAAAATATTTACATATATGCATAAGACATCAGTTACCTAATAAAAGATAACTGATGCCCTTAATTTAAGCAACTCATCCGTTCTTAAGAGAGAGAAAAGCATAACGTCATCATATTCCAAACAAATATACCAAAGAAAAATCTAGAGCGACATTATTTATTCCATAATAAAGAAATAGTTCTGTAAAATATATGATTTGTGATGTATACAAAACAAAAATAAGACATCCGTGTTATGTGATGTATACAAAATAAAAATAGGTCCGGATTAATATACAACATATATACATAAAATATACAACAAATATACTCTATAGATCAGAAAAAAAAAATCTACAAAAAAGACACGATCTGAAATATACAGAACATACACGATCACAAAAACCAATCATCTTGCTGCTATAAATGCCCATCGAAAAAATATGCATAATATACACAATTACAAAAACATATATACTGAATATATACATAAACGCCCATCGAAAAAATATACATAATATACACGATTACAAAACATATATACAGAACATATACATAACATATACCTGCAACTACGTAAACAACAACAAAATGTATAAATATACTACATATATACCGTCTGGTCTAGTCCTCCGCTCAACTAAAACCTAACCACAAAATCCACCCGACGGCCCTTCTTCACCAACTACCTCAACGTCGGGCTTGCTCCGTCGACCGCTGAAAATCACGTTCGATGGCCCCTGAAAATCTTCGTATGGATTGCTTCGCCGGCCACGATCGTCACCGTGCGCGTGGGGCAAGCCTGACGGCCGTAGGAGATAACCTTGCCAACGGCACCATGTTAGCCGGAAAGATACTCGAAAAGACGCCCAAAGACATATTCATTCTTATGCAGCAATATAAAAAGATGCACTAATATTTAGCTTACGGATCAACAAACATGTAAATTCGCCCAAAGAATATTGCGAAGTGTGGCCCGCTAGCCTTCTTTCCCTGCTAATGGGATGTATTTCAAAGAGAGTCTCTTAATTCTAACCCAGCCCAAAACCTCAGCTGGAAAATTTATTGGCGTAAGTACATACCTACGAGACCATTTTGTATGATTTACATATAGATGATAAAAAATTAGTGAATCGCACAATCATCCACTTATGATCTTTCAATTCCGCAATTGTCTTTCTCCGCAACTATAGTGACGTGGTGATGCTAAAGACGTCACTAAACTTTTTCAAAACATCACTTTTTGAAACAATTCTATTTCTATCCCATATATTTTCTATTTTAAATTAACCATCCGTTCTTCTTTTTTTAATTGTTTATCTGTATTTTATCTTAAGTTTGTTACTTTGTTTTATAATTTAAACTAGCTTGCAACTTTTGGTTTTTCTGCAGTTTATCTTAAGTTTGTTACATTATTTTTAAAAATTTATTAAACTAACTTGCAACTTTCAAGTTTATTATATATATTTTTTTACTAAGTTACAGAAAATAATTTGACCAAAAAAAAAATTTATACAAAATAAACTAAATATAATAGTTTATCTCAAGCTCGGGATTCAAAAAACCACAGACAACAAAAAACCACAGATAAACCAACAAAAAACTATAGATAAACCACATATATATAAATAAGTATAACCTCAGATAATCCAACAAAAAACCGCAGATAAACCAACAAACAAACACATATAAACCAACAAAAAATCCCAGATAAACCACAGATAAACCAACAGATAAACCAACAAAAAACCACAGATAAATCACAGATAAACCCGAACTCAAGATCCGATCAAAATTTCTATCATGTGTAATAATTTTAGAGCCTCTTTCAAATACCAAAGGAAAATTGAACATAAGTTAAAAACAAATCCCAGTAATTCATAGATCCAAAGATCAATCAATAAAATTCCTACAACAAAAGAAAAAAAAAATTGCTCAACCCTAAATTACTAAACCACTAATTTAATCTCAAGGCTGTTACATGTTGAGCATCAAGGCGGCGGGCCCACACCGACAGAGGGAGGAAGGAACCCGACATAGATCTCGAATCGAAGGTGAGGTTGGCGACGATTAGGATATAGTGCTAAGGATGCAAGCCTCCCGCCGGTGGTGCGTGGGGAAGGCGGAGAAGCTCTTGTGACGTCGGATTCGTTGACAAACCTTCAACAAGTCAGACCTTATGACGTGCGTTGTCGACGATGGGCGTGTTTCCGTTTCTTCGACTCTGCCAAAAACAAATGGGTTGGGGAGAGAAATGATAGATGTAATTTTAATAGTTATAGAAGTGGAATAAAAATATTAAAAAATCCCTATCCAATGCGACTTTCCTCACACTCGGCCTATATTGACGAGCACGCTAAGCACTTCTCGACAAGTTTTCCAACTCGCATTACTTCTCGGTAACCACACGCCTCCAAACGACTGTCCAAGAACCTAACCAAGTCGTCCCCTCGTCAATAGCTCCGCTAGCACCACTGCAAATCAGAGTTAATGGCATTATAAAGATTTCAAGGCCTACAACAAAGTACAAATAATTACTCATACTATACCAATATGTATACAAAGATCATCAGATCAAAGTTAATGTCCAACCTAGCAATACAATTAACATAAACTATAAATATACAACTTGGTCCAACAAAAATCACAAATCATGGAGCTGTCAAAGAATCTTTATTACGATGAAATAAGAAGTACAGGAAAAAAAAAAAAAAGTGTCTAGCCATAGTTTAGTTGCAGGTATACCATGGTGCTTTCTACAATATATATCAACCTCTGTCCTTAATTTTAATTCGTCGTGAGCAGCCCTAATTATAACATAGAGCTTTTTTGTAACTTAGATACCTCTCTCCCTCGCGCCGCCGTTGATGGACGCCCAAATCGGAGCCACCAAAATCGCCGCCAATAACTGGATCCGAAAAAAAAAACCCTACCCTCAAACTTGGTCGCACGCCTATCAGTGAACATTTATTTGGGATGAAAACATGTAGGCGAGACATTGATCTGATACGAAAACCTTTGATCGAGCCGTCGTCGATGCTAGTCAAGCTCTCGCCAGAGAATCTGTACTCGACGGACCCCAAGTATCGAGTCAGCGATCCGAATCGATGTCCGCCAAGCTTGTTTGTTGTACCTCTCTCCGACGCTCGATATTCCGGTCGATCTAAGAAGAAGAGACAACAAGATACGTGAAGAGATGTTGTATGTATATGAAGTGTTGGTGTGTGCGTGTGTTCTGTGAAGTGATAATTGAAAAGACAAGAGAAATTGAACAAGTTCAATTGAGATGCAGAGGATGAGAATATGCTGTCAATGGGGATTAAGAAACTAAAAATCTCGTTAAAGTGGAAAGGAAAAGTTTAAATTGGTAACAAAAATATTTGATCGTTAATTAGGAATAAAAAACTTATGAGATCGTCCGCTGGGTAATTTTCTCAAATTTATTACTAGTTTTTATATATTTTTATTTATTCCCCAAATTCTTCATCTAATTCAGAGAGCCGAAAATGAGGTGAAAACGGAAAAGCATCCATCCTTCACAGATAAGATCAAAGCATTTATCCATGGATTACTCTTCGCACCAGCCTCAGCAAGGGTACGATCCTTCAGCTCAACCCCAGCAATTCTACACTCAATCCGTGGAGGGTTATTACCCCTACGCCTACCCAAACCCTCAGTACGTCAGCAATCAGCCGTACCCGTATCCCGCCGTGGATGTACAATCTTCAGAGTACGTACAACAAGAGCCTACTCCGCCCGGCGTCTCTTTTCAGCAGGCGCAGCCGATGCATGATCCGAATTCTTACAACCAAAGCCTCGATTATGGATCGGCCGCTTATGCCGCTGGCGGCTATACATTTGGCCCCCAACATGGGGGAGTGGATGCTGGTGCTGCCATGGCAAATCAACAGGTGGTTCATCAACTGGTATGAATGTTCTTTCTTCATGTTTGTTTTTCCGGTGATTAGCAGTTTTCTTGTTGATTGGGTTGTTCCGTGCTTTGTTTGATGTTTTTAGGGAGCTGGGTAATGGGATTCCTTTGTCTGAGTGTTGTTAGCATCATTAAGAAAATTAAGGTGAAAGGGGAATGTAATTACTAATTAGGACCTCACATTGGAGTTTAGAGATCATGATTGTAGGTGTGCATTATGGACGGATGTCTCACTGTGGTTAATTAGGGGTTTAATTGTATGAAGTGATTGTTTGAATTGGAGTCGTGCAGAGTCGAGCGCTTTTCATTTACAAAGATATATAGTCTCAAAAGAAGTGCATTCTTTTTTATCCGGCATTGGAAATCTGTGTATGATTTCTTGTTTCTTGAAGCTCATAAATTTCTTACGTGTGGTAAGTGGTAACGAATGATAATTTGTGGTTTCTTAATTCTGGATTGGATTTATTACTCATTTTAATAATAAGGTTCAATGTTTTGTTTGGAAAGTGTGAATGACATTGGTTGCTTGATCTGGTGTTAGTTTGAAATTCAATAAGAAAAGTTCACACAATAAGTGCAAGTCTTTGAGCTTGTTATTTAAGCTTCAACATTGGGCTAATTGAGCAAGAGTGGGCATCACCTTAGTTAGTGTCGGTTTATTGTTTGCTAGTAACTGTGAGCTTGAAAACAAACTATCTCCATAAAAATATTGCACAACATCTAGTGCAGATCAGCTTTTGATTCCTCGGATCACATTGCATGAGGTTAATTTTGTCCTTTGCAGAAGTAATAATTTCCCAATCAGAGAAGGTATTTGCTATTCAGTATGTGTATCGCCCCTTACGGTTTATCTGTCTCTTCAAGGGTCAGGTTGGTAGTTCAGTATCATATTAAACGAGCTTACATTTCATCATGATGGTTCCATCAGTGATTAAAAAGGTGATGGCATGGCGTTGAGGCGTGATGATGCGAGGCCTGGGCCCTCAAATGTGAGGCATGGGCCCCTCAAATAGGTGTAGCAGAGCGAAGTTGTGAAAGACAAAGCCAATGCACTTGCCTCGATGGTTGAGGCACTAACCCTACTTTTCGGCCATTGGTTTAGACTTTTTAATAAATTAGTTCTCAAATTACAATTCTATGTCCTAACCAAAGTCTCCATTGGTTCATGTTTTCCCTTCACTGGAGCCCTGCGACCTGATCCCGGAAGTTCTCCGCAGACCATTTCCTCCTAAAACTGACTTTCAACTGAGAGTGAAGTCATTTAGTGTTACATGCTTTTCTTTCTTTGTTTTCTTTTTCTCTTCCCTTCTCAACTTCTGGCTGTTGTTTGACCTATTGTATTTGGTATTGGAGGCTGCCGGACCTGCCGGCCAATAGCAGCAGCTTCTCTGCTATTTTTGCCTTTTATTCTGGCAGAAACCAGGAATACTTCTATTGAATACTAATTATCCTATTTTTCTTCTAATAATATTCTTTGGGAGCTGTGAATGTTTTTGGACTGTTTTTGTTAATTGAGTTCTGTACTATGGTGAGTGGGTGGGTAAAAAATAGCTCAACACCATCTATTATAGTCAAACTTTAAGGTTAATTTTTGTGTAAAAAAAATCACATTTGGAACTTCTTTTTTGTTTTCACCTAGATTATATGTAATTTGTTTGTTGTCCATAAATCCTTATTGTTGGCCTGCTTCATTTCAATGAGGTGAGCGCCTTGCCTCACGCCTTGGCAGATAATGGATCTGTCGCCTCGAGGCGCCTCACGCCTTTTTAATCACTGGGTTTCATCAGGAAGCGTAAACAGATCGTTCAGTGAAATTTATAGCAACCTCGTTAATCCCCTCATCAGTTTCCATCACAAGGTATAAGGGTGGGTGGCTATAGACTTCAGATGAACATTGATGCAACCCACAATATTTCCCTATCTTGCTACTAAAAGATACATGCACATTTTTATTTGCAGTTGACTGCCGGCTTGACTGACGGTCTTCGTCCTTAACTCATTTTTTTCCTATCAGTTAAGGTCTTCTTTACTTCTATGGCTGGGTTACATTGACTGATGAAAGGTGTGACGAACTTTATGATTGTGGTTAAATCATTTACTGAGGATCATGTGTGCTTTGGGGGATTGCATGTGGTAACTGAAGTGAATTCCCATGTTTATATATATTTTTAACCATATATTATAGTTATATAGTTATATATATATATATATATATATATATTTGATTATTTATCAAAGCTCAAGCAGTGCGTATATTCTGAAGGGTGCATTATATAAGTTAAAAATACTATTTCTTCATCACCTTTTGTTTATTTAACCTTTTATCCTTCTTTTGTTCTTCTATTTTGTTCTCTTCTCGCCTGTTTCCCAAGATGATCGACTTAAATTAGTTTTTTGAACTAGGGTTACATAATATAGATAACTAGTTAGTTCTAAAGTAATTAAGTAAAGAAATAAAACTTCACGTTTCTTTATTATAAGGTGCATATTTGTTGGTCTTAAAGATGTGTAAATTTTTTTTGTTGAACAATAGCTAGTTGTATGATTGTTCAACCTATCTAGGAAGTAACAGCCATGAGATGATGAGGTTGCCCTTATCTAGTATGCACATGTTTGTGGTACTCTTGATTACTCAATTGTACTATTTCCTGTTTCTTTTTTCCCTTCCTTCTGAGTTCTGCAAAATCCAATTGCATTCAATGCGAGCAAAATCCAGAGTTCCTGTTCTGTTCTCTTTTTGCGGGACTTTGTGTGTCTGACTGGGTTTCTATCACAATCCAAAGATGTTTTGGTACCATATTCACACAAATGACTCTACTGTTTGTAGTTTGGTTTACTCATAGATTTGCTTATAAACCTTTGCAAAATTATTAGATGGAGAATCAGTTGAGAATGCATAAAATTAGATATGCTTTACTTTTTTCTTTCAGTGCATAGATAATTATTTAAAAGAATATGATTACATTTTACAAAGTCCAGGTTAGCTCCAAATGTTTATGTTTGATAATAATGAATCGACATGCTGAACTGAGTCTTTCATGAGGGTTTTGCCTTCCATTTTGTGTTTGATATCAGAAACTAGGATATCATATTTTTATGTAGTTTGCTTTTCCTGAAGAGCAGAGACCATTGTATAGCTAAAGACTAACCTTTTCTAGCTATGTCTACGTGAATGCTTTTTTTCAGTATTGCATTTGCCTGCAGTCTCTTCTTCAGCGTTTATATGCTTCCAGTTAGCTTTCCAGGATGGTGTCTCGTATATTTTCCTGATAATCATGAGATTAGGTTTAGCCGCTGTACAGAAAAAAACTCCAGTTATCTTTCAAAACTACAAACATCCCACCCCTCAAAAAGTGTTGCAAACATCCATTTGATGCTCACATGCTTTTTTAACAAATGCTCCTCCTTTTGAGGGCACATTTTTTGGTACAAGAGGAGGGCAGTATCAACGGGGTACTTGTAATTTTGAAAGATAAACAGCATGCTTTAAATTGCATTCGCACGATTTTGCAGATTGTACCTCCTTACATTGGTCCTAGCACCATCAGTGGTTCTGGCCCCCCACCGCAAGTTGACCAAACCCATGCCGGGCCTATACCAAACTTCTCGGCCCGCCCAAATCGCGGACGGGGCCGTGGACGCGGCCGTGGCCAAACATTTGCTCGAGGTGGGCCCCGCATCCAACTTGGGCAACCTCGGCACCCGCAAATGCCTCAACACCTGTGGTGTGAACTCTGCAAAGTCGAATGCAACAGCGTTGAGATCCTAAACCGGCACTTGAGTGGGAAAAAGCACTTGAAAAAATTGAAAAATTTTCAAGAGTCGCAAAATCTTAGTAGCGTGATGGCAGGCGGACGGAATGAACATACATATGTTCCTCCCGAAGTCCCTTCTCAGACCAATCAAATGGAGGCATCTGCAGATCAGCAGCTTCAGCTGGAGAGTTTGCCTTCTCAACCTATCAATCAAGGAAAGGCGGAGGAGGTGAAAAAACCCTTCTGGTGTGAACTCTGCAAGGCTGATTGCAATACCCTTGAAGTTCTCAATAAGCATCTAATTGGGAAGAAACACCAGAAGAACTTAAAAACATTCAACAAAACTCAGACTGTTGTACAAACTGGACAGGCATCTCAGACCGAGCCCCCCGAGAACCAATTGCCTTCTCAAGATAACTGCCCAGAAAACTATACCCAAGTCGAAAAACAAAAACTTCAAGAATCGGAAACTATTGCAGAAGCTGGAAAAAATGTGACAACTGACTTCTCCGGAAATGTACGCGGGCTCAAACGCAAGATGAGGGGTGGGAAAAACGGTCGGATCACGAAAAGGAGGCCCGTGGAACCTCCAAGGCCCAAAGAAGTTATCCCGTTGGTTTGTGAGCTGTGCAACGTGAAGTGTGAGTCTCAGGTCGGCTTCCAGAGCCACCTGGTGGGAAAGAAGCACTTAGCCAACGCCAAGCGGTTTCTGAGTGAAAACAAGACGCTCGGTCAGGAAGTGTTTCAGATACTGAGGCATGCAATCCAAACGCTGCACGAGCAAAATGCCGTGGCCTCCACTTCTGTGGCTTCCCAGCTCAATCCGCAGGGATCGATAGCTCAGCCGGTGGAAGCTTCATCTTTGTTGGAAAATAACTTGGAGGGTGCTGAGGGAATACCAGGTGAGGGACGTGCACGTGCAGAAGGCGAAATGGAGATTGTGACTAAAGATGCCAATAATGCGGTTACACTTTCGTGCGAAACAAACACAGGATGAAAGCGAGTTGTGTTGCATGGGGAAAAGGAATAAGCAGATGGGGAATGCATGCAGTTGGGGTATAAAACCAAATGTGTAGGGTGGCTTGTCTATTTATGGATATGTTGGAACTTGGAACCACATTATATTTTGCACAGTTAGCTAAATGGATGATTCTCTGCTCGGCTCGCTGTGATCTTTTATTGCTTCTTTTGTGCTCAGCAACATGTTTTTATGCTGTTGAAATTTTTACATAACCCTTTATTGGTCATATTTTAATATCTGCTGATTTTGGCTTGCTATATATAATGTCTTAAATCTACCAAATCTGTTAGCTTTAGACATGCTTGTGTTTTTCATTTTTTGTGGGGGATTCGGTTCTTTGTTTTCATCATTTGCTTGCAAGTATGAAGCTTTAGTTGAGTTGCAACTTGGTTGCCCAATTTCCGTGTTTACAAATATATTTACCTTTGATTGATTTTTTGTTTTTTTTGTTTTTTTTGTTTTTTTGTGTGTGTGTGTGTGTGTGTGTTAATCATAGCTAATTTTGAAAAAGTTAACCATGGAAAAGTTGGTGATTGATTTTTTTAATCATATTTAATTTTGAAATAGTTGGTATAGCTAGGGGGTGATTGTTTGCAAAATAATTTACTCACTTTTATTTCAACTCAAAATTTAACTCAACTTTAATCCAACTCTACTATCTTTAATAATATTCATATAATTAAATAATATAAACCAATCATTCTTACACATCACATCAACTTTAATTCACTATTCATCCACTCACATAATTTTAACTACCTATCATTTTCAATCATTTCCAATCATTTATCTCTTACTTTTACATCAAATCAATTTTAATTATTTTATTTTAAATATTATTTTAATACATTCTTAAATTTTCACTACAATTAACCATACCATCTTTTTCAAAATTAACTGTAGTTAACCAAAATAACTCAATTTGAACAATTATTTCATAAACAATCAAACCCTAAGATGTTAGTGAGATTTTAAATTTGTATTAAAATAATATTTAAATTAAAATTATGAAAATTCATTTAATGTAAAAGTAAGAGATAGTGATAGGTAGTTAAAATCATGTGAGGAAATGAATAGTGAATTAAAATTTATGTGATGTGTAAGGTTGATTGATTGATATTATGTAATTATATTGGTAATACTGAGGATAGTGAGATTGAGTTACAGTTAAGTTAAATTTTGAGTTAAGATTATTTTTTTAGTATATTTATAAACAAACACATTTTTATAGTTTTGTCTTCTTTGTTTGTTTAATTAGTAACAACTAGTACGAATCCACTGCAATGCACGAGTAAGGGATATTCATAATATTTATAAACTAAAAATAATTATTAAATAATTTTTGTAAATTTGAAATATGGAATCAATATGTAATACAATTTACCTATATTAATTTATTAAACAATATTTTATGAAATTTAAATTGTGGAAAAGTACATAAAACATGTCAATATAAATCCGTACACAACTCGTACGGTGCACGTAACTGATTCATAATAAGTGTCAATTCAAAATTACTATTAACAAATTCGATTTGACTACAATTTGATTCCATAAAATAACTATTTTAGTATAAATTTATTATATATTTAAAAAACTATGTGAATAATAAGTATAATTAAAAAACATATATTGTTTCATCAATTAAAATGAATTTATTTTTGTATAAACTAATAAATTTAATAAATGAGTAATTTATTAAACTATAACAATTTGCATTAGACAGTAGCTAAAGGTCGATGAATGAATAAGGAATGACTACAAAATCTAAAGTAAATTGTACGAGTAATTATGGTAACTAGTGTCCATTCATGTACACATGCACAGTGACAAATAAAATTTTATATATTATGCGTGTGTATACAATATTTAATATTTAAATTAAATAGTGTATGTATTACATTTTAAATTTTCTGGACTGTATGCAAGTGTACAATATAAATACAAATTATTTAACCTATATTTGAATCTTATATTATGGAAAGTACAAGTCTGAAAAAATGCTCCTCACCTCTCGAACACTAGCTCTCGAAATGCTCTCAATCGCGCCGACCCTCCTATCTCAATCGCGCCGGTAGTTTCTCCCTCGTCGGAAGTTTGGGTTAATCTGTGGACGGCCCTTCGTCGCCCGTCCATGGCGGTGCTGCCCTCCTCTCATCTACAAATTGTGTCCCTGCTTCGCGTCTTGGCCAACGGAGAAGGTTCTCCCTCCTTGTTGGTTGTCGGAGTCCGGGTTCGGTCCGAGAAGATTGAGGTGTGGTGCTGGGTCATGGACGGGGTTGGGCTAGCTGCAATCGATTTTGGCTGGGTCGCTGGGACAATGCTTCTCCCCTGTCCGCTTTCCTCGCAACCGATCGGAACCGAGCCTTTCCGCCGGCGAAGCGGCGATTGGCTGTGGACTCCTCCTGTCGTCTCTCGGCAGTGTCAATTGAAGGTATGCCCCCAAATTTGCTGCTCTGTCTCGGTTTTCTATTTTGTCCGTGATCGGGGAACCTCTCGGTTCCTTTCTGGCGATTTGGATTTGGGGGTTCATGGTGGGAGTCGTAGTTACTGCTGGGATCAGATTGCTGGTTCCAGAGAGTGCTCGTTGCTTGGTCATGTTCAGCTGTTTTTGGCCTGGTTGAGCTGTGATTGCTTCTACTCATGATTGGAGGGCGGGCCAGCTTTCGAATGGTCCTAGGGTGCGGGTACCCGTCTTGCTAGGCCTTATGCAGTGGTGGATGGTTCTTTCCGTGCTTTGGAGCTATCAGTGGAGTTGGTTGTCTGCCGTTTATCTAGATGTATCTGGTGGGGGAGGCTTTGTCCCCTTATGCTTTGTTTTAGTGTTTTGGTTGTTTTGTGTTTATGTTATTTGTGTTTTTAGGATTGTGTTTTTGGTCTGGGATGTTAGCCCCTGTGAACCTGAGTGTCAAGCTTATTATCCTGTTGGGATCCGACACTCGGTATTACCTTGTTGGGGTCTTTTTAGTTTTTTTGTTGTTTTAGTTGGTTAGTTGGTTTAGTTGGTTGAGTAGTTGGTCTGTTTAGTTTCGAGTTTTATTCTAGCGTTGCTAGTGGGATTTTAGGCGGTCTTCTGACCTGTCCTCCCACTTTATTCTCCCGTTGGGATCTTTGTATCTTTATTCGCACATTTGTGCGCTTTTGATTTATAATAGTGCCTCTATCGTTTCGAAAAAAAAAAAGAATCTTATATTATGACATAAATTTTAATGTAGGTGTGTAATTTTGTAATTTAGAAGGGCCATTCAACTAATTAGTTAGAAAAGTGTTACATTTATTTTTATCATTGTTATAGAAATTGTTTACGTGATTTTAAGGAATTTAAACACCCATGCCAACTAACTATTATATGAGAAAAATTGCTTGATAAGACGAAAAAAATAATATTTATTGCAAAATAAGTATCTTAAAGAAAAAAATTGCAATACAATTTTTTATAAGTATTTAACTAAACATTATTAATGATTAGTTATATAACAATTTTTTATAATTAGTTAGTATTAGTAGTAATTATTATATAATAAATTAGTTTCTAATTATTTTACACATTATAAATGACAAATGTAACGGTTCTACATTAATTCAAAACAAATAAGCAAAAATCTATAGAATGTTGTAAAATATTTATTATAAAATAATAGATGTGAATAACTATTTTACCCTCGATGTAATTGTATTATTACAGTTGTGCCATCAAAAGTTTCTTATAAATAGGAGCTTCAGTCATAATGAAAATCGTACATAAGAGAAACATTTTTACTATTATCTCTATTTCTCTCTAGTTTTATAACACGTTATCAGCACGAATCTCTGCCCTCTTGAGCTCGATTTGTAATATGAGAAGAGTACACTCTACAGTTGCGTCTTATAGACGAACCTAAGTATCATAAATGCAATTATGGATAATGCTCCCCTACCACGGTGGACACATGTTAATATGTCCACCGCTTATGTGGCATGCACACATTGGTGATGTTAATATGTTTAAAAAAAGTACATCAACAATGTTTACATGCCACATAAGCAGTGGACATATTAACATGTGCCCACCGTGGGTAGGTGAGCATTACTAATGCAATTATTACTTATTGTTCTTCTTTTGAATAAACTCCATTTGCCAAAAATTTAAATTTGATCCAATCTTTTCATCACTTCAATCTTTCCCCAGAGCAACCAAACTTAAGCGTCATCTCATTTCCGTCCTTGAAAACTGTATTCATTTACATATACCTTTTGCGGGTATATACAAGTACAGATAAAAGAGAAAAAATAAATATTGGGAGTGTTCAACAGCTCAAATTTAGGTCCCTTTTGCTAACATGCGCATACCTCCCATGGGTTTATAAACTAGCTCTGGGACGACACAGTCGCGGGACCCCAGCCCGACACTGACCTCGGCAAACTCCATGAACACTCAACCTTTAACTTCTCACCGAACTCAGGCAAGGAATTGGAGGATGTGAACGATGAAAGATAGATCAAGAGAAAGTCGGCGGAGATGTGGTGAGGATAACGAGAAGCATAATGATCGTGAAGCCGCCCCAGGCCGATTAGGACTCGCTTCCGTTTTCTCTAGCCGCTACCCTCCTTTGCTAGGTTTAATTTCAGGTACATGATAACTTTCTCTATATGATTCCTCTGAAGAGTAGTGTTGTCTTCTAAGGGGGTTGGAGATAATCTAGCCATTAATTATATTGACGGACAATTCAAGGCAAATGAAGTTTCTGGCCGCCTCTTGTGTGTGAATTTAATAATAGATGACTTATGTGTAAATTACATATGGGTAATTGGTGGGATCTTAAATGATGACTTGTGTGTAAATTTAATAATAGAAAATTGACTTTATTATTGCCTTAAAAGAAAAAGAAATAAAAAATAAATAAATATGGCCCATTTTGAACATAATTTTTCTTTTAAAAGAAAGGTTACACAAATGTGTATCTGACCATGTGCAATCACAATTGCTATAAATGCCA